TTGGGTTGAGGTTTGGGTTGGGGATGGGGTTGGTTTGGGTTTGGGTTGGGGCTGGGGTTGAGGATGGGGTTGGGATTGGTTGGGTTTGGGGTTGGTGTGGGGTTGCATTGTTAGATGTGTCCTCTTCATTCTTCTCAATCTCTGCCGCCTTTGACACTGTTGACCATTCTATCCTCCTCCCCTGCCTCTCCTCTCAGCTCCACCTTTGCCATTCTGTCCTTTCCTGGTTTCACTCTATGTATCCCAATGCCTCAAAGTTGTATCTGACAACAGCTTCTCCTCCGACACCTGCACCATCATGTGTGGTGACCCCAGTCAGGGCTCTGTCCTTGTATCTCTCCTCTATAACATCTATATGTCCCCATTGCCGATATCATCCGCAGGCATGGAGTTAACTTCCACATGTATATAGATAATCCCCAACTCTATCTCTCTGCCTCCACCCTTGATTCCAAGACCACTACACTTCTGACTGATTGCCATCAAGTCCTGGGTGAGAGTTAACTTTCTCTAGTTGAATGATGATAAGACAGAGTCTCTCCTGATTGGCTCTTGTCCGTGCCTCCTCACCTCAGGCGCTGACAGCATCACCATCCATGGTTGCACACTCCACCTCACTGAGCCAGTGCAGAACCTCAGTGTCTGGTTTGACTCTCAACTGTCCTTTAAATCCCACATCCATATCCTGACCCATTCAGCCTTTCCTCAACTCCCTCTCATCGCCCACTTCTGCCGCTATCTCTCTCCTCGAGACTCTTATCCATGCTTTCATCACATCCAGGCTGGACTTTGCCAACTCTCTGCCCCCCGGAATTTCCATCTCTTCATCCAACAAGCTGCAGATCATCCAGAACTCTGCAACCCATGTCCTCTCCTGCACCAGATTCCATGACCCTATCATTCCCATCCTCACTCGGCTCCGGTGGCTCCCCATCCCCTAGAAGATGGAGCTAAAGAGCCTCGCCTTCAATTTTAAATTCTCCATGGTCTCACCTCTGTGACCTTCTAAAACCCTAGCCCGCTCCCTCTGCTACTTCATGTCCCTTGCCTTCTGGCACCTCCCAACCGCTCCAACCTGCTCACTGCCCAATCCACCACCCAGCGCATCTGCTCAACTGGCACCGGCTTCTGCTCGTCCCTCACACCCTCCGTCCCACCATCAGACACTACTCCCCGAAACTCTGGAACGCTCTGCCTTGCCCCCTCGCTCCCTTTTTTCAAGTCCCGCCTGAAAACCTTCTTCTTCGACCGTGCTTAGGGCCATCTCCCCCCACCCAGCCCCACCCCAACCAGGCTTGGAGTCAGGATCTGCCACTGTTAAGTGCTCTGAGACGCTACACTGCATGGAGGGCGATATATCAGTGCAAGTTGTTGTTGTTGCCCTGGCCACTCCACCATTGGCAGTCGGACCTTCAGTCTCTCTGTTCCCACCGTCTGGAACTTCATCCTGGAGCCCCTTCATCTCAGCCCCTCCCTCGCCTCCTTTAAGACCTGTCTCCAGACATTCTTCTTTGACCGCGCCTTTGGTCGTCTTCCCCTTGTAATCAGACCAGGAGGATGTCACTAGCTGGCGCTGGGAGGGTGAGTCACTGATGTTAAACATTCGGTGAATTACCAGAACATAGAGTGCTTTTCAATTGCTCAGTAAATGCTTTTAATAATTAGATATTTCTGCAAATTTCTCAATATTTCACTGTAATATTCTGCATTTAGTTTAGAAATATTGATTTTTTCATCCTATATTGTCTATTATTTTTGAAAGCAGCAATGAATTTAATTTCATTCCTGATTTTGACAGATTCCGAGATAAATAAATGACAGCCACAAGATGCATGTTACAATTATCAAATATGCTTTTACAAATTGTAAAACAAATTCAGATCAATATCTCTTAATCTACTTCATGTCGCAGAATCTTTAATCTACGAGGGGTGGGAGGGGTTGAAAAGGAGAAACCTAGAGTGGGGAACAAGAGAGCATCAATTACAGATAATAATAGTAATAATACTATTAATCCTTGCCTTTGACATAGCGCCTTATCACATCTTCAAGACGTCTCAAAGCGCTTCACAGCATATACTGTAAAATGGATAGACTCGGGGGGATTTTTTTTACACAGTTAGGATGTGGAACCTGACCTAAAATGGTTCTTTATGTCCCCAACGTTCTCCGCTCCCTCCTTCCTTCCCTCCCCACCTTTCCCCTCCGCCCCCCCCTCTCACCCACCTTGCTCCCCTCACGCCCACCCCCCCACCCCTCCCTCATCCCCTTGCCTGTGGAGAGAAGAGGAAGAAGGAAAAAGATAACCGTACTTTTCATCATCTTTTTCCCCCTTCTTTTCACGTGCCCCCCACCTCCCCCTGCCCCAACCCAGGTTCCCAGGCACTGCAGTGAAGCACTTTGTGTGAAGTGTTTCTGAGTTGCCCTTTCAGGGAACATTGGAACAGGAGTAGGTTATTCAGCCCCCCCAAGCCTGTTCCGCCAATCTATTAGATCATGGCTGATCCTAGTTTGCTGAGGGAAGTTCGGGTGGAAATAACGGAGGCTCTGGAGACCATTCTCCTTGAATATGGAAGTAGTGCCTGAGTAGCGGAGAGTTGCAAATATTAGACCCCTGTTCAAAAAAGAGAGGGATAAACCTGATAAATATATCCAGTCAGCCTAACGTCGGTGGTGGGGAAATTTCTAGAGACCGTAATACGGGGAAAATTATTTTTAATTTAGAAAAACATAAAATAATCAATAATAGTCAACATGGGTTTGTTAAAGGCAAATTGTATCTGACAAACTTCATTGAGTTATTTGATGATATAACGGAGAGGACTGATGAAGGTAGTGCAGTTGATGTAGTGTGTATGGACTTTCAGAAGGTGTTTGGTAAATTGCCACATAATAGACTAGTCAGCAAAATTGAAGTCCATGGGATAAAATGGACAGTGGCTGTACAGCATTTCAGTCCCGAGCTGAGGTCAGGGGAGGAGAAGGGAGGGGAAGGGGGGTGGCCAATGGCATGGTCGAAGAGGAGGGTTTTGAGGTGGGACTTGAAGGAGGCTAAGGAGGGGGTGAGGCGGAGTGATTGGGGGATGGAATTCCAGAGGTTGGGGGCAGAGTGGCTGAAGGCTCTCCCGCAATGGTGGGGCCGGTGGGTCGGGGAACGTGGAGCAGCCAGAGTCGGCTGAGCGGAGGAAGCGGGCGAGTTGGTAGGGGATTAGGAGGTCGCAGAGGTAGGGTGGGGTGAGGCCATAGAGGTCTTTGCAGGTGAGGACCAGGATCTTGAACGAGATCCTCTGAAGGATAGGGAGCCGGTGGAGTTGCGCGAGAGTGGGGGAGATGGGGTCACGGAGTTTGGTGCGAAAACATTATGTCATTCATTAGGCCTCAGCTGGCGTATTGTGGCCAATTCTGGGCACCACACTTTAGGAAGGTTGTCAAGGTCTTGGAGAGGGTGCAGAGGAGATTTACCAGAACGATACCAGGAATGAGGGGCTTTAGTTATGTGGGGAGACTAGAGAAGCTGGGATTGTTCTCCTAAGAGCAGAGAAGGTTAAGGGGAGATTTAAAAGAGGTGTTCAAAATGATGAAGGGTTTTGACAGTGTAGACAGGGAGAAACTGCTTCCACTGGTGGGTGGGTCGGTAACCAGGGGACATAGATTTAAGATAATTGGCAAGAACCAGAGGGGAGATAAGGAGACATTGTTTTACACAGAGAGTTGTTGCGGTCTGGAATGCACGGCCTGAACGGGTGGGGAAACAGATTCAATAACAACTTTCAAAAGGGAATTGGAGAGGTACCTAAAAAGGAAAAATTTGCAAAGATATGGGGAAAGAGCGGGGGAGGGGACTGATTGGGCAGCTCTTCCAAAGAGCGTGCACAGGCTTGATGGGCTGAATGGCCTCCTTCTGTGCTGTGATATCCTATGATGCTACATGTGTGCAAATGTAAATTATTGATTTTGGGTGGGTGTGGGGTGGAGCTGGTTGTGTGGAACAGGTTTCACAGTCCCCCAGGGAGTGAGCGATTTGTGCAAAGAATCATTTAGCAAATGAACAGCAGTGTGTAAAGCTTCCAAACCAAACCTTTATTATACGTTTCATTTATCCAACATCTTTCACATCAGAGGAAACCTCTGAGCTGCCCTCAAACAATCACACCCTGGGAGGGAGCTCTGTACTGTATATGAATCTTCGGGGTTTAACCAAGCCTGTTATCTCCGTCCCACCTTCCCTTTAACACACTATTTTGAGTCCTGTAGCTCAGTGCATTTGCCTCACAAGCGAGAGAACCTGGGTTCTCAGGCAGGGCAAAGCGTTGGACAAGCTTCCTGACTCCACACGCCTGTTTACCTCGCCGTAACTAGGAACCAGTGGTTAGTCGATTGGCAGATCGCTTTTCCGGGGATAATAATCCCTTCACAAGAGAAGAAAATAAATTATTCACTCAATCCTGTGCTGTGCACAATTGGCTGCCACGTTTCACCCACAAAATGTAGTCAATTCACTTTACAATATATTTTATATTCAAATTCAAGGATTATTATTATTATTATTAATATTGCTGCAGTGTTAGTGCAAAACTCCCAACTCTGCTACTTGTGTAGTGTTGCCTTTTGTATAACATTAACCCCAATGTTCCAGGCCAGTGTGTGTGTGTGTGTGGGGGGGGGGGGGGGAGTGAAATTGAATGAGATTCATTTACAAACCTGTGCCCTTGTGGAGCTAACCTGCCCCCCTCCTCCGCTCGCCCCGGCTGAACACTCCTTTTCATTAAGTTTCCGCTGAGTTCTGCCAGAGGCTGATCACAGCTCTGACTCTCTCTCTCTCTCTCTCTCCTGCAGTCTCGCTGAAGCAATATATAAATGTCACATTTAACAAACTGTTCCCCGTTAGGGTGGCCAGGCTGAGCTGAGGCTGGAGCTGTCCCTGTCCACAGCCGGGAGCAGCGCTGCTCTGCTTATTCACGGGGCAGAGGTTTAAACGGACGCCCTCCCTCCCTCCGTCTCTGAAGCCAGGCTCACAGACTCCAACAGCCTGGGATCCAGTCCGCAGGTAAGACCCCAAGGCGCAGCTTTCTGATGTTCCTGGGTCTCCTGCAGGTTGTTGTAGTCACCTCTTTGCTCAGTTCTTACCTTGTTTGTGTCTCTCTCTATTTGTGAGAAGCTTGGATTTGTTTCTGTGAACTTCTATCTACATTAGAGCAGGTTCTCTCCCCCCCCACCCCCCCAACACACACCTTCTGGGGGCTTTGTATGTGTGTGTGTGTGGGGGGGGGGGTTATGGGCAGAGACGAGTTTTACTTTTTAAGTGAATCGTTTAACAGCGGAAGCAATAATAATATTCCTTGCATTTGATATAGCGTCTTATCACGTCTTTGAGACATTCCAAAGTGCTTCACAGGATATAGTGGATTATATGTTTTAATATAGTGAATTGACTATATATTCGTGGCCAAAACCCGACAGCCAATTGTGCACAGCAGCGTCCCACACACAGCTGTGGATTGAGTGACCAAATTATTTGTTTTCTTGTGAAGGGACTATTGCCCCTGGAAGAATTATCCGACAATCGACTATCAACCGTGTTCCTACTTACTGTTGGGTAAGACATGTGGAGTAAGGAAACTTGCCTAAGGTTTAGTTACTGGTTGGGAATCAAACCCAGGTCCTCTCGCTTGTGAGTCAAGCGTGCTACAGGACAAGCTGGACAGAGAGACAAAGAAGGCTTATTAATACTTTTTATGAATTATTATAAATATTTTTAAAATATTGAAGGATATAAGTAGTATTTGAAGCCGGGGGTTGGGGGGAGATTAAGATTAAATAAACATGGTATAACTGATCCAGGAACAGCTTTGCTCTAACAGGTTTAATTCAATATCTTAAGTCTTGACTGAAACAGTGAAATCTTTGTGTTTCTTTCGGAATATACTTTCCCGACTACTCTACGGTTCCTGTAGTCTAAACATAAAATGTTTGTGAGTCACTGAGTCGTCTAAGGTGTGTACGAGAGAGAGAGGTTCCAGCGACTGACTGTCCTGTCTGATCCAGGTCTGATTCCTGGACCGATCTCGATCTGAGTGTGAATCGCTGTCTGGGGACAATTCCCCGGAGATGATTCCCATGCAATTTCCAAGTGACGGGTTTAGGACGCCTTCTTGACGTGAATTGTGCTGTGCACATGTAATTTGTTGTTGTGGCTGTGTTACAGGGCATGTGCTGGTGTGTGGGGGCGGCTGTGAGGAGTGAGGATGAGTGAGGAGGAGCTGGAGACCCCTGGCCTGGGTGGGGGGCTCGGAGCCGAGCAGAAAACCGCCTTCGCCTTCGTCATCTTCCTGCTGGTCTTCCTGCTAGTGCTCGTGGTGCGGTGTTTCCGTATATTACTGGATCCCTACAGCAGGATGCCCTCCTCCTCCTGGGCCGAGGGCAAGGAGGGACTGGAGCGAGGACAGTTCGATTATGCCCTGGTGTGAGGGTGGGGGGAGGGTCCCACTGTTCACTGTCACCGATATTTATTTCCTGTTAAAACCAGCTTGTGCTTTTGGTATTTCCCCCCCACCAAACTTGCCTTAATGTCTTGTAGCTGCAATCTGAAATATAACCTTTTCCTCTGTATTATACAGCTCAAGCTCAGCACTTGGACACCAACCAACCCCAGTGAGAGACTTCGAGAGAGAGAGTGAGGGAGAATGAGAGAGAAAGACCTGACAGAGAGAGAGAGTTAGACAGACAGAGATGAGATCATTTCAGTACCAAGCTCCAGATGCACTTACCATCCTGAGTCATTGATCACTGACCGAATATTGAGATTTTTTTCTACTCTCCCCCTCACCGTCCACACTAACCAGAGGACACTGTGAGCGAGGACACACTCACTGTTACCCACTTACTCAGGCTGGGCTCTGACACGTGTGTATGGGTGTGTGTGAATGTGTGTAACCAATGGCCACAGATCTCAAGCTAATGCTTCAAATGAACAGGTTTATATTGTTCCTGTTAGCCCGAGTTCTGCCGGGGGCGGCCAAACCAACCCTTCACCCATCCATCACCTGTGACATAGTGGTCTCTTGAGCGCTCAAAAATTCTGCCAAGTTTTAGCCGTGAGATAATTTTGCCCTAAAATTTAAGACCATGCAAAATGATGTAAAATTCAGATTTAATTGGAAAGCCGGTTCCTTCCAGTGAAGAGAAAAACGACTCCAAACAACTCCATGTAAGAACTTTCCACAGTTCCATATCAAATTACATTTGAACGCATGGTGGTGACAGGCTAAAACTAGGAGGAATTTCAGAGGAATCTTATTGTTGTGTGTGTGTGTGTGTTTTGCCATTGTTCTGCTGTAGACAGTAAATCCCGGTATTACAGACCCCCAGCAAAGGGCAGCTGTGTGTAACCTGCCCACTGAGAGACTCACATCACAGGCTATTCATCTCCGCATTCAATCCATATCGCATGGAAACGTTTCAAAGCATTTCACTGTTGCTGTCAAGTGTTGTGGCTGAATGTAAAGGACAGGTTATTCCAGAGGAACAAAACATGCAGGTCAGTCAGAGATATGACTGTGAGATTCTGGATGTATTTTTTTAAAGAAGCAATAAGCACATCTGTGGATGATCAGTGTCCTGCTGGCCTGGGGATGGGGTGAACTGAAACTTCACCAAAAACCAGAGACTGGGAGCATTGCTGCAATACTTCTGTCAGACTCATAGTCACGACCCTCTGACAGGATTTTTTGGAAAGGCTACAGTCTCTGTGGTGGGTGACTTATAGATGCGTGTGTATATGGGTCTGAGCTGATCAGGAAGGAATATATACAGTCCAATATTTGGTGACAGGGACAGAAAGAGATCAATACTTTACCACTGTGATTGTCTGAACGTCCTTCGGTAATGGCTGATCAGCCCCGGCTGATTGATACGTTTCTCGCTAATTCTGTGTTGATATTTCTTAAGTGTCTTAAATAAAATGACAAACAGATTCCTTCCTCTCGCGTCACAAGTTGGTTATCTGTGTAATCAGCAAAAGCTTCAGCTTAAGTATAATCCTTACATTTGATATAGTGCCTTATCACGTCTCAAAATGCTTCACAGGTTAGACTGTAAAGTGGATTGACTTGTGTATTTGCGAAACACGGCAGCCACTTGCACACAGCAGTGTCCCACAAACAGCCATGGACCAATTTTATTTGGGAGATTGTTGGCCAGGACACCAGGGGAGAGAAACTCCCTTCTCTTTTCAAATAGTGACACGAGATCTTTAACATCCACCTGAACAGGCAGAAGTGATCTTGGTTTAATGTCTCCTCCAAAGTCGGGTCAGTGTATGTCCACGATGGTCAGAGGTAGCAAAGTGCTTCAGCAATTACTACCAAGTTTGCGTCTGCCACCCACTGTGTTTCTTGGCTCGAATGGAATCAGAGAGGAGGCGGAACCGAATTTAACCCAAAATAATCCATTTTATTCCTGGGGCTGATACAGAGCGAGACCTTGCCGGTTGGTATGTTGCAGGATGGCAGGTGCCCAAAACCCAGAACAACGATTCTGTCAAAAATACTAATTTTATATAAAAAAAAGACACTGGCCGTCTTGTCTGTGCCTCCGGTATCCACAGCACACAACAGATTCCCAGATTCATTACAGTAAATGAACAGTTTGTAAAGTCAATTCATGAAGCAAAGCACCAATTGAGGTCCAGTGTCTCAGTAGAATTATTATATTGCCCCCCACCCCCCATCCCACCCAGTAGAAATTTGGATACAGTATAACAAGTTTATAAAAAAAATGTTTTCAAGTCTGTCACGGGCTGAAATACAGTATAAACAAAACACATTTCCTATTTTACATTTAGTGACAGTTGCCAAAAAATAGCTACAAGCCTAGGCACTCCCTCCCAAAGGGTTAACAACGAGGTGTGGGAAATATAGCATGTGGAGTGCGGATCTATCTCCCTGAAAATCAAACACTGCACCATTGTGAGACACTGACACCAGGGGCTCAGTGGGCGAGGGGTGGGGGGAGCAGAGGGTCTGACAGAGCTGGAGCTCGACACAAAGCCTGGGCACTCGGGGCGCAGTCACCGCAGCCCACGAGGAATCATGTTCCGCCCGTATCACATCCTGAAACAGGAACAGAGACAATCAAACCCCAAAACCCTCGGGTCCCACATGCCTGAGGGACAGCTGTGTCACCGTGGAATTACTCCCTTTCCTGAAGAGATTATGTTCAGCATAGGATTTATTCACAGACAGTACGTTGGTGGCTTCCACACAAAGGTGTGAAGCAAGTTCTTCATTGGTAAATCACCTGGATATTCAGAAAGTAGGGCGAGTGGATCTACACGCAACAGGGGACAATGAGCACAAGGGACTCCAGCACTGGGCCGGCATTCACCTGCGGAAATCAGTGACTGAGACAGTTTTACAGCTTTGGATCTGGACCTGAATGTTTGTTTGGAGGTGAGTTATTGCACAGACACGGAACACTGCACAGAGAAAGAGAGAGAGAGAGATGGCTGTCGTTCCGCCTTGTGTCTCAGTCCTTCATATTGAAAGATTCCTGCAGGAGATGTCACTAACACAGGGAGGAGCAGAGGCAGGAAGCTGTGATTGCAATCTCTACACTTTCTGTGGTTTAAAAATCTGAGATTCTTTTCTGTGGTGTGAAATGTAACGCCCATCACTCACAGCCCAGTGAGGTGGGAGAGGGTGGAAAGGTCTCAGTAAATAGTCCCTGACACACGATTCCCAGCCCCGTCCACAATTACAGCAACCACTAAATACAGCGATGGTTTGCTGGCTGACTTACTGAGCAGGACGCACTTGCACTTTCTTGCTTTACGTAAAATTGTCTCTTATTTCTAGTTTGTTTCTCTAAACAACTCGGTGCAAAATCTCTCCTGCCTGTGAGTTCAACACCCCCCCACCCCCCTGGCACTCTCCCAGGTCTGGATTTACTCAATTAATGTTGCATTTCAGAATTTGCCAAATTGTTGAATTCAGTCTTAACTTTGATGGTTTTCTGTAGTTAAAAAGAAACTTACAGAAGCCAAACTTCAAAATTAAAGGCTGTGTTTCAGAATTGGATAAATTCCAGACACACTGACATAATAATAATCCCGGCATTTGATACAGCGCCTAATCACATCGTCAAAACATCTCAAAGCGCTTCACAGGATACACTATAAATTGTAGTGAGTGTATTTTGTGGGCAAAATCTTAAGTTTAATGGTCGCAATTAGCCACCATGTTTCACCCACAAAATGCACAGTCAATTCGCTCAACAGGATATTCTGCGAAGTACTTTGAGGCATCTCGACGCTGTGATAAGGCGCTATATCATGGAATTCACTGCCTGAAAAGTTGGTGGAAACAGATTCAATAACCACTTTCAAAGGAAACTTGAAGAGGAAAAATTTGCAGGGAGATGGGTAGACAGTGGGGGAGTGGGACTGATTGGGAAGCTCCTTCAAAGAGCCAGCACAGTCATGATGGGCCGAATGGTCTCCTTCTGAGTTGTAATATTCTATGATTCTATATCAAATGCAAGGATTATTATTATCATGAGGTGGGATTTCTCTCCAGCAAGTGATCTCCTCGTTGATTCTCAGCCAGTTGGGGCAGGTGGGGGGGTCGACACTCAACAGGCATCCGAAAGAGAAGAGGAGGGGAGATGGGGGCAAGGCTTACACATTCACCTTTCACAAACCATTGGCTGCAAGGTATTTGGTTGGTTGGTTGAGGTAAGTAAGGTCAGCCTGTGTTCAGCACACTGCATGAACTAACACACAAATCTCTCAACGATATACAAAGGACTTCAATGCAAAGCTGCTGTCTATTAGGTCAGTGTTTTGTAACCAGTGGTTTGTCACCAGTGCCCGTTCACCAGAGGAGCACAAAATGCACTGGATACAAAACACCCACTGAATGCACGGCAGCTACCATGGTTCCAGCTGTTGTGAGAAGCCAAACAGCCAAACTATTGCTCCCCACACAGCGGGAATTCCTTCCTTCCAGTCCGACAAGCACCGTTTCTGTCTAATGATTCTGCCACAGAAAATACCCAAAGTATATATCCACTCCGTTCCTCCCTCGCACCCCTGCAGTCCATTTTGGTCCAAAGCAGCTTCAACCCATCATTAACCTCTGTGGGGCAGAGGTTTCTAACCTGGTACTGTTCGAGAATTGTTTTGATATTAACTGGGCCCACAGCCTGGGTATTTACTCAACAGCCTGGGTATTTTGCCGCTGGCCCAGTGGTTATCTATCAAAGGCCCGAGTGTTTACCCGCAGGCCTGCTGTACGAGGCTGGAGTGTGAAGGGGAATGTTTCAGAAATGAAGATCCGTATTGTTGTTGCTGAGCCACTGCCATCACCAAGTGGGGTGGACGCTGGGAGCTGCTGGTGACAATGGTGGCAGACGAGATGATGGTGGAGGGTTAGAGGAGTTGAATTTGAAGCTTGAGCCGCAGAACCTCCCCGATGTCGCCTGTGAGGTAGTCAACATCATTCTCCTCTTCCATTCTGAGAAGTTGCTTCTTCTTGTACAGCGGCAGGCTGGTGACCTCCAGGGCATACCTCCCGGCAGACACCTTCTTCCTGCTCAGGTGCAGGTAACTCAGTCCGTTCTTCTGGTGAATTCGGAAGTTGTTGTTCTCATTCCCGCTGGTGATGACATAACGTACATGGTTCTCCAGAGGTTCAATGGCCGGTAAAAACTCCATGATATGGTCTTTGTTGTCCAGCTCAGAGATGCTCACATTCAATGAGATTGGTGCGTCAATGTCCCAACTAGCCAGGCTGACCCTGTGATCCTGTTAGAACAAAAATCAGCCACTAAGATTAATGTTCCCGATCGATTCTGTAATTAGTTAGCCGTTAGCCAACACAACAGGATTTTTTGGTCAGCCAGGTGCCTGACACATATGGAAACCCATCATCATATCAAAACCAGACTGAAAGTTTCACATATGGACGGCATTTACACATGGACATTTCCCCATGTCTGGAGATCTAATCTAATTCTAATTAGATTCTGGAGAGTATTAGGGCTTTGGGGCCTCAAGGTATGGTTTGGGGTAACTACTGAGGTTTAACCAGCTGGAACCACACAGCTTGCCATTGATATTGCTAGGACCACCCTAACCATTAGGGCTTTGGCTGCAGAGTTGACAGGAGCTGAATGGGAGAATTCCCTGCCCCCAGTGAACTGGTCTGTCCTTCCAGGTCCTGCTGATGGGCCGGGCTGTGCTGCCATCAGCAGTGAGTGCCCTGGAATACTGCGGACCTGCCTGGATCAGGAATCGGACTAGTCGTCATAGAGGGCAGGCTCGATTCTAATATAAATTGTGAAGCATGTCACTTGGAGGCTGAAGAAGACCCTGTTTACACCCCCCCCCCAGGAGGATGGTCACTAGTTGGTCATTTGACATCTGACACATGTTGGTTTGGTACCAGGAACGAGCTTCCCGGTGGGCCACACAGCGCAGCATGAAATGTGTGAGAGCATTGGCACCATCTTCCTGTCTGCAGCTGAGATCCACGCCCTTTCCCATTGAGCAATGGTTCCACCAGCTGAAGGTGTGGAGCTTAAGCAGCAGCAGCTGCTGTAAACACCAATCATGGTGGGGTCCAAGCCCTGGATACATAAATGAATGTTCACAAACTCAAACGCCAGATAACACCTTCCAGCAGCTGCCGTCCAAAGCCTCAGTGTTTCCTCATCAGCTATCTGACCAAGAAACTGAGTGGGAACCAGCAGAAGTGACGTACAGACCCGCCCTCTCCTCACAAACAGTGACAATTCTGGGTATTGTTCAGGACACCTCCCATTGCTGCCTGGCCTGGCCTGGCCTGGCCTGGCCGGCACAGCCCGAGGCCACCTACCTGAGGTTGAGTGTGGTTGGCATTCCGGCGCTGACGGCTTTGCTTGGGATAACCATTGATTTTACATTCATAGCAGGTCTCGGGGGAGAGCAGGTGCTCGTTGTCGCCCTCCTCTGGCTGTGACTGGTACTGGCCGGGGTGAAAGCCCATCGAGGACACACAGTGGCTGAACACAAACGGTGCAGAGACACAGACCGTCAGCACAAGTCATATTCCTTCTGGAAATAATCTCACAATGTGAGCCCACCTCAGCTTCACGCGGGGAATCAGGACACAAAGGGAACGGCGAGAGCTCAGCAAAATCTTCACACACACACTGGGGGACAGACATGAAATTGTCTGCCACAAACCGGAGGGAAGCAAAGTCCTCAAATACATTTAAGAACATAAGAATTTGCTGGTGAAAGAAGCCCAAGTTACATCCAATTCACCTTCCAACAGATCCTGGCAGTCGCTTGACATGTTGTGTCTCAAACTATACACTGTTTCCCAGATGTTATTTTCTAGCAGGAATCTTATCTAATCTGTTCTTGAAATAAACAACATTTTCTGCTTCCACCGTCTGTCTCCCTGAGGAACTTGGTCCATAAGTTTACTGCTCGCTACTGAAGTATTAAACTTTTGAAAGGAAATTAGATGTTTTACTAAATTATTATGAGTGTTAAAGGGGTGTGTGTGATGATGGAGGAGGAGGTGTGGGGGGGGGTGGTTTATACTGGGCGCTCACACAGAGAAATCCACCACGAGGAGAGTTTGGGCAGAATGGAAGGTTCTGGAAAGCTCTCAGATTCCATGTGCCAACGTGGAAGCTCTGCGTTTGCCGTGAGTGATTGTGTACTTACCCCTGACCGACTCGGTAATACCCCCCGGGGCAGCCGCACAGATACCCGCCGTCTGTGTTGGAGCAGCCGTATGAGCAGGGGTTCCCTGTGGCCAAGCACTCGTTCACATCCTGGCAGTCGCCGGCAAACTGGTCAAAGTCGAAGCCGGATGGACACATACAACGGTAACTGCCCAGCGTGTTGTAACAGGACGCTGCTCCACAGGCGCTGGGATTGCTGCACTCGTTCTCGTCTGCACCGCACGACACACAGAGGCCGGAGTCAGCAGGACAGCCTCAGGTTAGAGTTTAACATCCTCGGCCTCACTCCTAAACCCATCCACAATCTCCCTCCACCCGACCGACCTCTGCCAACTTATCAACACCTTAACAACATGTTCCGCTCCCTCCTCTCGGTGGGCACTGGCTTGCTCCACCTCCCCGCCCCTTGCCGTCCACCACCCCCAAGCATCGCCCGTCCCCACACACACCCTCCCCACCCATTCCCCCCACCCCCGTCCATCCCCACCCACCACCCCACCCCCAGTTACTTGCCGACACACTGGTTCCACTGGTAATGCTGCATGTAGCCCTGGGGGCAGCCACAGCGGTAGCCGCCCAGAGTGTTCTGACACCCGTGTTGACAACGGTGGTTTCCCCCACACTCATCAACATCTACAGGGGGGAGTGGGAGGGAGAGAGGGCGGGTTGGGAGAAAATTCACAGTTATAATGGAGACACCGAGTACGTAAACGCAACAAATCCACTCGGTCCACAGCAGCCGCTTGGCAAACGGCACAGCTGCCCCCACCCCCCCACAACCAGCACTGAGAGAGGGGGAGAGGGGGGGGGGCTAGAGAGAGGTGAGGCGGGGGGAGAGTGTGAGGGGGAGAGGGGGAGGAGGATAAAGAGAGGGGGAAGAGAGCAAGGGGGAGGGAGGGGGGGAGAGAGCAAGGGGAAGCACAAGGGGGAGAAGAGTGAGGGGGAGGGAGGGGGGAAGAGAGCAAGCGGAAGCACGAGGGGCAGAGCGAGGGGGAGAGAAGGGGAGAGCGAGAGGAGAGCGAGGGTGTGAAAAAGAGGAAAGGGAGAGACACCAACATCAGTACCCCCATTCCCCCGACGCCCCCCCCTCGCCCACATGTTCCCAGTGATGGGTTGAACTTCACCTTCACAGTCGAGGCCACTGGTGTCCAGGGAGAAGCCTTTCTGACAGTCGCAGGTGAAGCTGCCCGGGGTGTTGTGACACATTCCCTTCTGCCCACAAATGGTGGCTTGTCCCACACACTCATTGTTGTCTGTGAAGAGACATCATCAGTCACCGGCCACTCAGCTCTCGGCCCCCGCTGCCCTCGGCCCCCGCTGCCCTCGGCCCCCGCTGGGCTCAGTTGCAATTAATGTTATCATTAACCCTCGTTTTGGGGGGATTGAAATTCCCATCATGTTCTGGGGTCGGAGGCCGTTGGGGGTGAAGAGGAAGTGGAGGTGACTGTGGGCGGGTGGACTCACCGATGCAGGAGGTTTGGTGCTGGGTGAAGCCGGGTGGGCACTTGCAGGTGAACCCTCCGATGGTGTTCACACACAGGAACTGGCAATTGTGCTGCTTGGTTGAGCATTCGTCCAGGTCTGTGGAGGAAGCAGAGCCGGTGAGAGGGAGACTCACTCCATCATTGCTACTGCAGCGAGAGCCAAGGAGCTGAGGCTCATTGTTACTGAGGCCAGAGCCTTGGGGCTGGGAGCAGTAAAGCCTTTTCCTGCATCTCAAGACCTCACACAGTAAAGTCCTTGAGATGAGACATTAAACCCGAGTCCTGTCTGCCTGATCAAGCGGACAATAAAGATCCCTGATGCAAAAGAGAAGGGAGTTTCTCTCTCTCTCTCTCCCCTGGTGACCTGACCAACAATCCCCCAGATAAATACAACTGGTCCCTCACTTCATGTGTGTGCGTGTGTGTGGGAGGGACGTTGCTGTGATAAACACGCAGTTCACAGAAAAACTCAACAGTTTCAACACGATAATGCGTTATATCAGATTATTATAACTTTTATGTATCCGACTCATCCGCAGAATGAGATTAATTAGAATTGCAGGGAAGGTTGCTATGGAGACAAATACAGCAACTAATCTGCATCTGCCCCCCCACCCCGAGGCCTGTTTCAGAGAGGAAGGAGGCGGCCGACGGGATGGGGCAGTAGTCAATTAACAGACTGCAGATTTATTTGCTCAGCCAGGTGGGTGTCTGACACACATGGAAACCCATCACCACAAGTCTCCAAACCGAGAATTCCCTGCCTCCAACCCACACATGGGAATCCCACAGATAGATCGTTGGAATGGAATGCGCTCTTTCTCTTTCCCCCCCGGAGGGCCGCCTCCTGCTTACCAAATTTCGGAGAGTATTAGGGCACAGGTTGGCAAGAGCCAAGGCTTGGGGGGTCCCCGGAGTGTGAGTTAAGGCACTGCTTGAGTCTAATCAGCTGAAACCGCATAGCTTGCCATTAATAGCGCTGTCTGACCAGCTTTTCTGCTGCTTGTCCAGCTAGGACCATCCAGTTACACGTGGCCTGGACAGAAGTACACCTCAGTGACCCCAGTGAGAGGTGCTCCTTGCTGTGTACCAGTGTCTGGAGGTTTCCCAGTGCCGCCCAGTCTCACCTTTGCATGTCTTGCCGTCCTCCTGCAGGATGTAGCCTCGTGGGCAGGAGCACAAGTAACTGCCCTCAGTGTTCTTGCAGATAAAGTTACACGGTTTGGGCGATTGTGTGCACTCGTCGAGATCTGTAATCAGGGGAGGGTGGAAACAGCATTACACCTCTACTCCCTCACACAGCAGCACCCGCTCGAAAACACCAACAGATTCCACAGTTACTGGAGAACATCCATAATCATCCTCTGGTGGGGAATCCAGAACAAGGGGCATTATCTTAACATTAGAGCCTGGCCATTCAGCAGTGAAATCAGGGGCAGTTTTTCACCCAAAGGGCCGTGGGAATCTGGAACTCTCTCTCTCTTTCTCTCTCTCTTCCTCCCCCAAAAAACTGTGGATTATGGCTGTATCCATTCATATATTCAAGATGAATTGGATAGATGTTTACAGATCGGGGTATTAAGGGATACGGGGAAAGGGCGGGTAATTGGAGTTGAGGTACAGATCAGCCATGATCTTATAGAATGGCGGAACAGGCTCGAGGGGCTGAATGGCCTCCTCCTAACCAATCCAGAACATGCACCAAATAAATGATCTAAACACAGACCAATCACTGATCTAGAATTTAGGACCAGAAAGTATAACTGATAAACTATCTAAACGTCTACAAACAACAACAAAAAACAGACATTGATCCAGAATCTGGGGCAATAAAACACTCACAAACTTATAATTCTATCGAGGCTTCCATATCGGGAGGACATCCCAAGGCGCTGTAATGGATGCAGGGTCACTTACCGATACAGGAAGTGGCGGTCAGATCTGTGGTGTAGCCGATATCACAGAAACAGCGGAAGGAGCCGACGGTGTTGATACACTGGCCGTTCTGACACAGGTTCGGAATAATCCTGCACTCGTCGATATCTGTAACACAGCGCGGTCTGGTCAGCACTGACACACAGCCAGGCAAACTTATACTGAAATAAAAACAGAAGTGGCTGGGAACACTCCGCAGGGCTTACAGAGAGGAAAGTGAGTTCATGTTTCAGGTTGATGACTTTTGGCGTTCCCAGTGAACTTTGGTCACTGACCTGAAACACTGCCTGTTGAGTTGGACGTTAAAGATCCCATGACAATATTCAAAAAACGAAGGGAGTTTCTCTCTCTCTCCCCCGGGGTCCCGGCCAACAATCCCCCAAATAAAATTGGTCACTCATCCATGGCTGTTTGTGGGACGCTGCTGCTGCATTTCATCCACAAAATACAGTCACTTCACTTTACAGTATATCCTGTGAAGCGCTTTGAGATGTCACTGACAACATGATAAGGCACTATATCAAATGCCAAGAATTATTATAATAATAAAATAATAATAATAATCCTTGCATTTGATTTTGTGCTTTTCACATCTTCGAGATGTTTCAAAACATTTCACAGAGATTATCATCTCTCGAGTTGTCAGCCACTCGCAAACTCCCCCATTCTTCAAATCCCATCCGTAAACCTCCCTCGGCTTAATGTGAGGCCACCTCCCCTCACACTCAGCTCAGAGTCAAACTACGCCACTATTAAGCTCTCTGAGGCACTACGTGTGTGAGAGGCGCTGTGTAAATGCAAACTGCTGTTAAAGTTCCATAGTTTAGTCACGGTAATCACACACAGAATAAACACGCACAGAATAAACACGCACAGAATAAACACGCACAGAATAAACACGCACAGAATAAACACGCACAGAATAAACACGCACAGAATAAACACGCACAGAATAAACACACACAAAGTAAATACGCGCAGCTGCGAAGGTGCACTCGCAGTAAACGCACACACAGACGTGAGTCGGGTCAGGTTTACCTCTGCCATCAGTGGAGTAACCATTGCCGTGTGGACACATTTTCTTATGCTGGGTAGTGCCAGGCAGCGGGCACAGCTCACACCCACTGCCCCAGCCTCGCCCTCCGTTACAGCAGCACTCGGACTTGGTGACCAGGTTGCGGCTGGTGGAGGCCATTTGGCACATGGTGTGCAGCACCTCGATGAAGCAGAAGCCCTGACGGTTATCTGGGGGCAGAGAGGGCAAAGGTCAGGCTCAGAGCGTGTGCCCTCTCGCTCACTTCCAAATCCCTTCATGCTCTGGCACCTCCCTACCTCTCTGAGCTGCTTATGCCCCAACCCACAGCCCGCTGCCTCCACTCGCCTGCTGCATCACCGCGCTTTTAGCTTCATCCCCAAAACTCTGGAACGCTCTTCCTGTCTCCCTCCGTCTTGCCCCTTCCTTCCCCATCTTCAGGTCGTCCCTGAAGACCTTCCTCTTCGACCGGTCACCTCCCCACCCTCCCCCGGCTCGGGGTCGTGCTCCACCACTGTCAAGTGCTCTGGGACACAGTAAAGGCACTGTGTACGGGGCGCTGTGTGTTGTTCGGGGTCTGCTATGGCCGGTTCTCACCCAGACACTCAGTCTCTGACGGACTCTCCAGGAAGCCTTCGCTACACACGCACCGGTAACTGCCCGCGGTGTTCAGGCAGCGGCCGTTCTGGCAGATCCCGGGTTTAGTGCGACATTCGTTCTCGTCTGAAAACATTCAGAACAAAGTTAGAAAGAGAGAGGGGGAGGGAGAGACAAAGAGAGAGAGCGAGAGGGAGGGAGGGAGGGAGAGACAGAGCGAGAGGGAGGAGGGAGGGAGAGACAGAGCGAGAGGGAGGGAGGGAGGGAGAGACAGAGCGAGAGGGAGGGAGGGAGGGAGAGACAGAGCGAGAGGGAGGGAGGGAGAGACAGAGCGAGAGGGAGGGGAGGGAGGGAGAGACAGAGCGAGAGGGAGGGAGGGAGGGAGAGACAGAGCGAGGAAGTGCGAGGGAGGGAGGGAGGGAGAGACAGAGAGAGAGAGGGAGGGAGGGAGGGAGAGACAGAGCGAGAGAGGGCGAGAGGGAGGGAGAGACAGAGCGAGAGGGAGGGAGGGAGGGAGAGACAGAGCGAGAGGGAGGGAGGGAGGGAGAGACAGAGCGAGAGAGGGAGGGAGGGAGGGAGAGAGAGCGAGAGGGAGGGAGAGCGAGCGAGAGAGCGAGAGGGAGGGAGGGAGGGAGAGACAGAGGGGAGGGAGGAGGGAGGGGAGAGACAGAGGGAGGGAGGGAGGGAGAGACAGAGCGAGAGGGAGGGAGGGAGGGAGAGACAGAGCGAGAGGGAGGGAGGAAGGAGAGACAGAGCGAGAGGGAGGGAGGGAGAGACAGAGCGAGAGGGAGGGAGGGAGGGAGAGACAGAGCGAGAGGGGGGAGGGAGAGACAGGGAGGGAGGGAGAGACAGAGCGAGAGGGAGGGAGGGAGAGACAGAGCGAGAGGGAGGGAGGGAGAGACAGAGCGAGAGGGAGGAGGGAGAGACAGAGCGAGAGGGAGGGAGGGAGAGACAGAGCGAGAGGGAGGGAGGGAGAGACAGAGCGAGAGGGAGGGAGGGAGAGACAGAGCGAGAGGGAGGGAGGGTGAGACAGAGCGAGAGGGAGGGAGGGAGAGACAGAGCGAGAGGGAGGGAGGGAGAGACAGAGCGAGAGGGAGGGAGGGAGAGACAGAGCGAGAGGGGGAGAGAGACGAGAGGGAAGACAGAGCGAGGGGAGGGAGGGAGAGACAGAGCGAGAGGGAGGGAGGGAGGGAGAGACAGAGCGAGAGGGAGGGAGAGACAGAGCGAGAGGGAGGGAGGGAGGGAGAGACAGAGCGAGAGGGAGGGAGGGAGAGACAGAGCGAGAGGGAGGGAGGGAGGGAGAGACAGAGAGGGGGAGGGAGGGAGAGACAGAGAAGGGGAGGGAAGGGAGGGAGGGAGAGACAGAGAGGGGGAGGGACGGAGGGAGAGACAGAGAGAGAGAGAGAGAGAGGGAGGAGGGAGGGAGGGAGACAGAGAGAGGGGGAGATATATATATAGAGAGAGAGAGACACACACACAGAAGTAGAAGCAGAGAGAAAGAGGTAGCAAGAGCCAAAGCGAGAGACAGACAGACCGAACAAGCGAGATGGAGAGAGAGAGAGAGAGAGAGCACGAGACAAAGGAAGAAAAGGCAGACAGACAGTGAGAAAGAGACACAGAGACACACACAGAGTGACAGAATGACACATAGATGGCAGGGGTGGGGGGCAGGGGGTGTGTGGGTGTGTGGGGTGTGGGTGGGGGGCAGGGGGTGTGTGGGTGGGGGGGGATGGGGTTGTGGGGTGTGGGTGGGGGGCAGGGGGTGTGTGGGTGGGGGGGGATGGGTTGTGGGTGTGGTGGGCAGGGGGTGTGGGTGGGGGGGTTACGTACCCATGCAGCCGTCGCTGTCAGGCCGGCGGACCATCCCGGGCTGACAGATACACATGAAGGTGCCGATCAAGTTCTTGCACATCATTCCCCGAGTCTCACAGTCACTGAGACCCTCCACACACTCATCCCGGTCTGACACAGGGCAACAGGCAGCAGGTCAGCAACACACACCTCCCCGCCACACTGCCCCCCCCACGCTGCCACCCCCCCACTACCCACATACACACTGCCCCCCACGCGCGCCCCACACACAGGCTCACCCCCCCACTACCCACATACACACTGCCCCCCCACCCCCACTGCCCCCTCCCCCCCCCACCCCACACACACACAGCCCCCCTACCCCCACACACACTGCCCTCCCCAGACACACACACTGGCCCACCCTCCCCCCGCACACGCACCCCCCCCACATACACACTGCCCCCCCCATCCCCCCACACACAGGCTACCCCCACCCCCCCGTTAGCGTGTCTCTGACCTTTGCACATCTTGTGGTCCTCGCGGAGGCTGTAGCCGTTGGGACAGGTGCACTCGTACGAACCGTAGGTGTTGATGCAGCGAAAAGCGCAGAGCAGTGGGTTCAGCACACACTCATTAATGTCTGCCAACACACAGCGGCCGTCAGAGGGTCAGCACACACAGCACAGCCCCCACCCACTGCCCTCACTCACCCCACAGCTCCCCCACCCCACTGGCCACCCCAATTGTCCCTGCTCCCCCCCACAGCACCCACCCCCATCCGCTGCCCCCGCTCCCCCACCCCATTGCCCCTGCTCCCCCTCACAGCTCCTCCACCACTGCCCGCCCCCACTGCCACAGCTCTCCACCACAGCATCCTGCAACCCCCCACAGCCCCCCTCCCACTGCCCCCGCTCCCCTCATACAGCCCACGCCACCCCACTCCCCACCCACCCCCACCCCCACACACAGACCCCCCCGCACTGTACCTTCACAAGTCATCATTGGTCCTGGTTCAAAGCCCTCGTCACAGGCGCACTCGAAGCCACCGATCACGTTGCTGCAGGTTCCATTTCCACACGGATTTCCGATGTTACACTCATCAGTGTCTGTGGAGACAAGGCACAGAGCTCAGGCGGGGGGTAGGGGGGGTGGCTGTGAGGGTCCCCCAGCCCGGCCAGTTGCACACACCCCCGCTGTGTGCTGCGATACCCCCTTTGTGCACCCAGAAAGAGATTCTGTTCCATGCTGAGACTGAGACTGAGGTTGATGTTGGGGTAGGGGGTTGAGGCTGGGGTAGGGGGTTGGGGGCTAAGGGCTGGAGTTGGAGCTCAAGGTTGGGTAACTCACCCACACAGTTGACTCCAGTGTAATCCAGTTTGTACCCAAAGGGGCACTCGCAGCGGAAGGAGCCGTCAGTGTTGATGCAGTGGCCGTTGACGCAGATGCCGGGGTTCTCCAGACACTCGTTCATGTCTGTGAAGCAGAACATAAGAGTATTACTGCTGCCCAGAGTCAGGCTGGTCCTCGGCACTGGCCCGTCATGCTGAGGCTGAGGCTTACCTTCCCTCGTGTCTCCGATGTTGGGGATGGCACCGTGTCCATATGGACAGAGCTCCCGGAACGCCACTGCAACACAAAGATACCGTGATCAATGACTGTTATAGTCCACAAATTCCTGCTGCATTCCCTGACAAAACACACAGTCACTACACTTCAAGTAAATCCTACAGAGACAGACACACACGTTTGGGGGTCGAGGGGAGACGGAGACAGACATACACACAAACACACATACACACCTTCTCCTTCCTGCGGACACAGCTCACAGGGGTCTCCCCAGCCCTCGCCGGCCATCTTACTGCAGCAGCAGCGAGCCTTAGTGGTGTTGAACGCTTTGGGCACCGAACATATGCCGTTGTCAAAGCGAGTGAAGCAGAAGCTCTGCCGTGTGTCTGCGAAGCCAAGTCACAAATATCACAGCCACTGCCAGCGAGCAGCACAGTAACACATCCCCCCAGCACAGGGGGAGGCCATTCGGCCCATTGTGTCTGTGTCGGCTCTTTGAAAAGAGCTTCCAAATCAACCCCACTCCCCCGCTCTCCCCCCATAGCCCTAATCAACCCCACTCCCCCGCTCTCTCCCCATAGTCCTGATCAACCCCACTCCCCCGCTCTCTCCCCATAGCCTGATCAACCCCACTCCCCCGCTCTCTCCCCATAGCCCTGATCAACCCCACTCCCCCCGCGCTCTCCCCATAGCTCTGCAAACTTGTCCTCCCCAAATAATTATCTACTTCTATCTTCTCTTTGACCGTGCCTTCAGCTCCCCTCTCGACTCTCTTCCTCCTCCTCGCTCCCTCCCTTCCCTCCCCTCACCCTGACCATTTCCCCCCTCCTCTCTCCCTCCCTTCCCTCCCCTCACCCTGACCATTTCCTCCCAATGCTCGGGTCATGACCCAACTGTGCAGCGCCTTGGGACGTCCTCCTGACGTGAAAGGCGCTCTATAAATGGAATCTTGTTGTTGTTGTTGTTGTTAAAAGCTGTTATCGAATCGGTTCCCACCGGCCTTTCAGGCAATGCATTCCAGATCCCAACAACTCGCTGTGTGAAGACATTTCTCCTCCCCCTCCCCTCTGTTTCTTTTAACAACTATTTTAAATCGGTGTCCTCGGGTTACCGACCCACCGCCAGTGGGAATAGTTTCTCCTTGTTCACCTATCGAATCCCCTCATCATTTTGAAAATCTCTATTAAGTCTCCTCTTAACCTTCTCTTCTCCAAGGAGAATAACCCTCACTTCTCTCGCCTCTCCTGATCACTGAAGTCCCTCATTCCTGGTACCATCCTGGTCAATCTCCTTTGCACCCTCTCCAATGCCTTGACTTCTTTCCTAAAGAGTGGGGCCCAGAACTGAACACAGTCTCTGAGGTCTAACCAGTGTTTTATAAAGGGTCATCATAACTTCCTGACTTTTGTATTCTTTGCCCCTATTTATAAAACCTAGTATCCCGTATGCTTTTTTAACAGCATATCCAGAGATATGAGGTAGATACAGAGAAACTATTTCCTCTGGTGGGGAATCCAGAACAAGGGGCATAGTCTTAAAATTAGAGCCAGGCCATATAGCAGTGAAAATAGGAGGCAGTTTTTTCACCCCAAGGGGAGTGGAAATCTGTACCTCCCTCCCCTAAAAGGCTGTGGATTATGGCTGAATCCACATTTTCAAGACTGACGTGGATAGATGTTTGTCAGGTCAGGGTATCAATGGATATGGGGTAAAGGTGGTTAAATGAAGTTGAGGAATAGTTAACAACAACAACTTGCATTTATATAGCGCCCCTCACTCAGGGCAGCGTCCCAGAGCACTTTGGCAGAGCACGACGCTGAACCGGGAGGAGGGTGGGGTCAAAGAGTTGTGTCTTTAGGTGTCCTGAAGACGGGGAAGGAAGGGGCAAGGAGGAGGGAGAGAGGGAGAGAGTTCCAGAGGTCATGGTACACTTAGAAACACTGCCTACACACTCACTGCACAGCGACACATAAGAACATAAGAATTAGGAGCAGGATTAGGCCATTCGGCCCCTCGAGCCCTGCCCCGCCATTCAATAAGATCATGGCTGATCTTCAGACCTAACTCTAATTACCTGCCCTCTCCCCATATACCCTAATCCCTCTATTTTTTAAAAAATCTATCAGTCTCAGCCTTGAAGATGTTCAAGGACTGAGCATCTACAGCCTTCTGGGGGAGTGAATTCCATAAACTCACTGCCCTCTGAGTGAAGAAATGTTTCCTCAACTCTGCACTAAAAGGCTGACCCTTAATTTTAAGACTGTGACCCCTGGTTATAGATTCTCCTACAAGGGAAACAGACCCTCAGTGTCTACTTTATCAGCGCTTTAAGAATCTTATATGTTTCAATAAGATCCCCCCGAATTCTTCTGTACTCTAGAGAATACAGCCCCAGTTTATTCAGCCTATCCTCATAGGTCAGTCCCCTCATCCCAGGAACTAACCGAGTGAATCTACGCTGCACCCCCTCGAGGGCAAGTATGTCCTTTTTTAAATAAGGACCAAAACTGCACACAATACTCTCGGTGCGGTCTCACCAAAGCCCTATACAGTTGCAGCAAGACACCTGCTGAGATTCTCACAGGGTTTATTGTGAGCGTTAGTCAGGGTCAGGGTCAACTCACCGAAGCAGCGCCGGCCGTTCTCAGACAGGATGAAGCCCTGGGGACAGAGACACTGGAAACTGCCGACCGTGTTAGAGCACGAACCAAACAGGCACGGGGTCTGGCAGGGCCGGGCTCTGGGCAGGGCGGGGTCTGGGCAGGGCCGGGCGGGGTCTGGGGCGGGCCGGGCCGGGTCTGGGCCGGGCCGGGTCTGGGCAGGGCCTGGGCAGGGCGGGGTCTGGGCAGGGCCGGGCGGGGTCTGGGCAGGGCCGGGCGGGGTCTGGGCAGGGCCGGGCGGGGTCTGGTTTGATTGACACAATCCTCTGTTACAGCTGAGTATCAGTTGCTGTGCGGGAACCAGGCTCCCGGCTTCATCATCGACATCCACACAGGCAAACCCATGGGTAAGTGAGCAGTGTGAGGAGAGGGGACCCCGGGGCAGGGCTGTGTCTGTGAGGAGGGGGATGTGTAGAGGATGTGAAGGAGGGTGAGCTGCCCATCGGGTATCTTTGTGGGCGGGTGTCTGCGCAGGGGGGTGAGGGGGATCGGGGGCTATGGCAGTACCTGACATCGTGTGTTTATCTGCAGACATTGATGAATGCCGAGAGATTCCTGGTATTTGTGCGAACGGCGTCTGCATTAACCAGATCGGGAACTTCCGGTGTGAGTGTCCAATGGGATTCAGTTACAACAACGTCTTCCTGATCTGTGAAGGTAAACATCTGTCAGTGACTGCGAGCGATGGGGCCGGGGCTGGGGCACAGAGTGTCAGACACAGTAACAACAGGCTGATCCCCAACTTTCTGCAGATATCGACGAGTGTAACAACGGGGACAACCTTTGTCAACGTAACGCGGACTGTATCAACATCCCGGGCAGCTACCGCTGTGAGTGCTCCCCGGGGTTCAAGCTCTCCCCAAGCGGAGCGTGCATGGGTGAGTAACCACAGAGAGTCACACATCACCTCACTGAGTCTACACCATCCAGCCTCCGCACTGCAGGACTCCACTGTAGCAGAAGGGCCTGTGCAGTTATGCGGGTGACGTGTCCTCACAGCTGCTTCTCTCTGACAGATCGCAACGAATGCCTGGAAATCGCCAACGTGTGCAGTCACGGCGAGTGTATTGACATGGAAGGCAGTTACCGGTGTCTCTGCCACAATGGATTCAAGGCGACAGGCGACCAGACCATGTGCATGGGTGAGTGAATGACTTGCATTACAACTTCCTTTCTCAACTGTGTCTGTGCCATCGCAGGCCATACAGTCCCTCTGCATCCATCACTGACCCGTCCTTTGGATGAGACATTAAACCAGAGTCCCATCTGCCTATTCAGGTGGATCCTATGGCTCTGCTAGAAAAGAGAAGGGAGTTTCTCTCACCCAGTGTCCTGGCCAACAATCCCCCAAATAAAAAAACTGGACATTCCCTCCATGGGTGTTTGTGGGACACTGCTGTGGGCAATTAGCTGCCGCGCTTCACCCATAAAATACACATTCGCTACACTTTACGGTATATCCTGTGAAGCGCTCTTGAGACGTCTCAACAACACGATAAGGCGCTGTATCAAACGCAAGGACTATTATTGTTATTATGTACAGTTCCCCACGTCCACCCCTGACCACACACTGTCTGTATTACTGACTGGAGCACGGCAGCCTGCCCCTGAGTTTGGAGTCTATAGGGCAACATCACTCTGACCGCTCCACAGTAATGGTTCCAGTTCAGTTGTCTTGTTCTGTGCAGGTCTGGTCTCAGCCTCAATGGGGAACGTTCCTGATGTTTATATTGTTCTCTTTATGGTTCCCCGGAACCACCATTGTCGCCGGAGGCAGGGTTGGTGTCGCACCCCAGTGGTGGGTGAAGCACAGTGTCGCTGCCCACCGCAACACGGGAACAGATGATGGTCCTGGGCTGACGTTAGCTCCTAACCCCACATGGTGCTTTATGTTCCAGATATCGACGAGTGTGATCGCCAGCCATGCGGGAACGGAACGTGCAAGAACACAGTTGGATCGTACAACTGCATCTGCTTCCCGGGCTTTGATCTGACGCATAACAACGACTGCATGGGTGAGAGGAGCACAGCCCACAGCCTCCTCATTAACAGCAATGAGGCCTCCACACTCACAGGCACACACAGTGACACACACTCACACAGTCACACACACACACAGGCTCCACACACACAGGCACATGCTCACAGACTCACACTCACACACACACACAGGGACACACACACGTGCACACACTCACCCACACAGAGAAGCATAACGGCAGTGTACTGTAATGATTTTCATGTAAAAGTCTCAATGCTGTTACAGAAGGAGATTAATGAGAAAAAAATTTTTCACATGCAACTAAATCACACCTTAATATGGGGATGTTGATGATTATTAAGCAAACAGTATTTAATGTATTTAGTTTCATGTAGAATGTGTGCAGAATCCAGGCTCCTGTCCACTGGTCTGAGGAACCAGCAGCAGGTCCAGCTTTGGCTTACAGACCGTAAACACTGTGCAATTACTAGACAAAGAGAAGGAGCGAGAGAAGAGAGAGCCAGGGAACGGATTCAGATCTGGGACAGCTGTGTGATCTGGAAAATGGACATTTTTAGCTGCGTTTAAGATTTTGAGGTGAAGAATGTAGCTTTTTAAACATTTCCAAATCCCAGCTCACTATTGATCTTAGCGAGCTTGGTGAGGTTGGGGTGAGGAGTGTAACTGTGTTGGGTGTGGAGCCTGGTGTGGGAGCTTGGGCACTGGCCAGGAGATGGCTTTGGGCAAAAACTAGTTAAGAGAGTGAGGAGATCACATTACCAGGCGAAGCTGCCCTTGCTGATCACTGGCCGACACGGAGAGCCTTGAGACGTGCTCCTGAGGTGCTATGTAGATTGTATTGTGATGTTTCTACGGCAAAAAGAAACATTACACATCACAATGACTGGGATGTTTTCCGGGGTAAAAGCGGCGGTTATATAAATATAATTTGTTACAGGGGAAACGCCATCACTAACTGCAGTGTTTCCTCTCTCCAGACATCGACGAGTGCTCGAGCCTGATTGGGCAGGTCTGCCGGAATGGTCAGTGCATCAACCGCATGGGCTCCTTCCAGTGCCTGTGTCAGGAGGGCTATGAGCTGACCCCGGACAGCAAGAACTGTGTGGGTGAGTGTCAGCCTCTCTCTCTCTCTCTCTCTCGCTCCACCCTAGTCATGCTTCAACACTGCCCTCACATGTTGCATGGCCACAGGTAAGATTGGGCTCCAGTTTGAGTTCTTATGAAAGTAATTGAGAAGTTAGAGAGTGGACGACTCTTCCCTCTGGTATACATGGGGCTGAGCCTCGAACTCAGAGCTAGGACAGTCAGAGCTGAGATCAGGAAGGATGACTTCATCTCACTGAGCTAAATAGCTTCCTCCTGTTCTTATTGAATGTGTTGGAGACAGTAAGAGGATCAGATAAAGTGTATTTTTCCTCTCCTCAGATATCAACGAGTGTGTCAGTTACCCCGGCACCTGCTCCCCGGGCACCTGTCAGAACCTGGATGGATCATTCCGCTGTATCTGTCCTCCTGGGTACGAGGTACAGAATGACAACTGTATTGGTAAGTCTCGCCCTCGCCTGGGCCTCACCCTCGCCTGGGCCCCAGGTGTGCAAGTCTGGCTTCCTGTCAGCCTCTCCATCAGTTCTCTCCTGTTCACCGGCTCCCATTTACCAGATGTGTTCTGTAAAATCAGGTGTGGCTTTATGTTTAGTAACTGACCTGGGATTGTGGACCAACAGTGTAGAGAGAGCTTCGCTCTGTCTGTAGCCCTGACCTGAGTGTGGACGCACAGTGTAGAGGGAGCTTTACTATGTCTCTAACCCTGACCTGGGAGTGTGGACACAAAGTGTAGAGGGAGCTTTACAGTGTCTCTGACCCGTGCTGCTTCTGACACTATCCTGGCCTTCAATGTTTGATCAAGTTGTATCTGGCAGATGAGAAGGTGATTGCAGTTTCATAAGTACTCTGTACGTTTATTCCTGATCTACCATCTGATGTGAAGCTGCAGCATCAGATAACTGTGTAAATGTGAAGCTTTTGCTGTAGTTCTCAGACTGGGTCATGCTTAGGGTGAGGGGGGACAGGGTTGGGTTAGGGCTAGGGTTAGGTGGGGCAATGCTGGATTAGGATTGGGGTTAGATGGGTAGTGGTGGGTTAGGGTTGGGGGAGCAGGGCTGGGTTAGGGGCATCTGTGGTCTGATCGTGCGGCTCTGCTCTTCCCCAGATATTAACGAGTGTGAGGAGGAGCCCAACAT